AATGTAAATAAAATAGGTGACTATATGTAAGTCACCTTGTGTATATTTTTGTATAGGTATGGCAATGTTAGAGTCAAGGATTTTGGAAGGATAGGGGTTGAAACTGGTAAGGCGTATTTTTATATTGCGTCTTAACTTATTACTTCATTGGTGGCGGTATAACGCAATCTATTTTCGTGAATTACGGCTACTGATTAAATTTAAAAAGCTACATACCATAGACAAAGAAGACTTGCCACTATTAGATCGGCCATTCTCACATTCGGAGTTCTCAGCCTAATTACCGGTATTGTCGGTTTTTCTTAAAAATGTTTGAATTTTCTAATTACAATTTCCATAAAATATTTGTATCTTATTAACTTGAAAACTACTTTTTCAATTCTAATGCCATTTTGATATTGATAGTTTAGCTTAAAGTTTTCATATTTCAATGTTGTTGGGATAATAAATAAGCGATAGAAAACAATGGCTATGGTAATTAGGCTGAGAACACCGAATGTGAGAATGACCGACGTGACAGATTGAAACGTCAAAGACAAAACTTAAAATGGAGTTTTCAAAATGGCGCCTTTTCTCAACCCTCCTTGACATAGCTAATGCATTTGCATTTCTGTAAGATATATTTGCGCCTAAAGTTTTTTTGTTAATAAATAATGTAAATTATAAATAAGTTAATTGATATCCACAGTCATTTACATAATATAAACTACTTCCTGGACATCTAGATATTAGATGGGATTTTGACCTTTTTCAGAGCTAGCGCGTATGCGCATTGGAGCCGATTGGTATTCGTTCCTAGGGGGCTACTTTCGGACATCCGTCCGAAACAATTACTGTGAAATAAGTAATATTCGACAAAATTAAAAGACAAGTATCCAGTATGAAGCTTCATTCACATTACGCGTCTTTTCATTTGGTCAAGTATTGCTTATTTGGCAGTAATTGTTTCGGACGGATGTCGGACGGAGATCGAGAGTAGACACCCTAATCCGAGACTATATAAATTTAGAAAACTCGGACCCACTTTGGATGTCGCTTGTGTACTTCGAATCCGAGAAAATATATCGCTTGTACACCTAGAGATAATATGAGTGTGACATTTCGGACCGTCATTTCTCGGATTCGAAACAGGGGGTCTACTCTTGATTTCCGTCCGACATACGTCCGAAAAAATTACTGCCAAATAAGCAATACTTGACCAAATGAAAAGACGCGTGATGCGAATGAAGCTTCATACTGGATACTTGTCTTTTAATTTTGTCGAATATTACTTATTTGACAGTTATTGTTTCGGACGGATGTCGGACGGAGCTCGAGAGTAGACCCCCTGATCTGTAGTATGAAGATTAGCAGTCTTTTTTACTTTTTGGTCCATTCCAGGATACAGCTCTTCATAGATATAAAAAAGATCTCAATGACCATTTGCTTTATCAAAAGCTTAAAGTGAGGCCTGAAAAGCAATGCTGAGTCTTCATCCTTTTGGTCCACATTACGGTTCATTTGTTTTTTGTTTTGATTGTTCGGTTGTTTGTTTAAAAATATTTTGTGGATAAATAAATGTCTTTTTATTTTATTATTTTTTTATTTATTAAGGTACGGGAATAGAAAGAATTAATAGATAAAGAATTCTTCCATTGACCAACACGAACAATGATTTGTCAACATGGCTACCATACATCTGCCGTCCTTGTCATAATTTACGCATTATAATAAAGAGGACAGTTCTCTTTGTGCGATAATATACAATTCTCTTAAAATAACAATGTCCCGCGAAAAAAAAACAGAAAGTTAAAATCATTTATAAAAATTTAAATCTAAGTTCTGGTTGTATGACTAACTAACGCCTGTTCCAGTGTTTGACAACCGACTAAATGATATGCATCGTCTTCACCACACATCAATGTAAAAGAGCTATGTATAGAACGCCGCATCTAGTACGCTACTAGGTACATAGATATATTACTGTTAATAAATTTCATCTGTCACTTAAATTACTTATTCGTGGCCCGTTTTTTAAACAAACAACTGTTACTTTTTTAAACGTTTTTTTTTATAATATCAAGTGACGGGACGAACAAGTCGTGCGCCTGATGGTAAGCTACACGCCTGTCCGTAACAGTTGCAGTGCCACTCAGAGCTTCAGATCTGAGGACACTGCCACTAAGCCCGTCACCTTGAGACATAAGTTGACAAGTCCCATGTGCCTGAAATTTCACCAGCACCATTACCTTTCAAAACCGGAACACAGTAATGCTGACATTACTGCTTGGCGGCAGAAATAGATAAGGTGGCAATACTTCCCTTCACAAGGAGCTATACAAAATATACAAAGAGCTTAAAAAATTGCTTGTGCTACGCAAATTTCAACTTTTAGTTGTACTTACCATAAAAGCTAAGTTTTGTGCAAGGAAATAACATTTTTCACGTTTTTTTGTTAGAACCAATTAGACAATGATGTTGATAACCTTGAAACAGAAATCGTGTTACATTGTTTATGAATAACAATTCTTCGTTTTTATCTAGTTTCGTGCGTTCCTGCCAATAGTAAGATCATGTTTGGAGATGCATGTTAGGACCCTATGAAAAAAAAACTAAAGATCCTTTATAATGTATTAAGAAATATTATTAATACGAAAATCGAACACAGAAGACCATACTGCACCGTAGCATTGCTCTTACCAACTGAGCTACGGGTCTAGTTATCGAGTTGTCGAAATTCGCCTATGTGTTTTTGTTAATGATCTTTGTACTGGATTTTTCCGTATTTTGCACCGCTAGTGACATCTTGTAAGTGATTTTTGAACCTTCATGTGTTCTACTCTTTGTATTAATAGTAATAATAATAATAATAAAAACTAGTAGAGTTATTTCACAAAAAATATCAATAATACATATATGAAGAAACTTAAAAAACACATTAACACAAAAATATCACTTTACACATCACATGAATACACACGCACTAAGTTAATCACTTTTTAAAAATTTATTATTTTTAAGGTGATTTGTAATATAAATTTAGGTAAGTATAGCAGTTGATCGTTGTAAGGACTGATTCAGCTGATTATGATGCGCCAAAACCCCAAGCTGCTAATTTTTTTGGAACCACTGGACTAGACACTACGATTTTAATTATGATATATTCTACTAAAATCTAAAGTGCCGGCGCGCTATGATGATGGCCGTTTTAACGTTTGTCCGCTCATCAAGTTTCGTATTAATTCATAACTACGTTGAAGGAGCTTGTTTGTCAATAGTGATGCGCAGTAAAATTTATGGAATGTATAAGTTTACGACACAACTAGGCTTTTGTTTTTCGGAATTCGAAACTTTTAAAAATGAAATCTAATACGTTCGCCACTTATGTAATAACTTCCACCTCCGGCAAACTCGGGTCAAAGCTCAATGCAAAAACAGTTTCGAATTGACGATATATTAAGTAAACATTTTTATTTTTGTTTTATTAAAACTTTTTAATCAGCTACCCCTTGCAGTACTAGTTTAAATCTAAAAAACTTATATTTTATGCGACGTCATCGACGTCAAAAGTTCGTGAAATTACGTCTATTTGCCAAGTTTTATTGAAATCGGTTACCTGAAAGTGCGTGAAACCGGATTCATCCTGTAGTTTGCCACCCTTAGAGGCGGAATATTTACTACAAATTTCAATGGGACCAATACTGAGGTACCCTCCTTCCAACAAAATAAAAATCATCAAAATCCGTTCACAAATGCTGGAGTTATCGCGTAACATAAACACGAAAAATATACAGTCGAATTGATAACCTCCTCTTTTTTTAAAGTCGGTTAAAAATTAGCAGTCTTGAGGCCCTGGTTTTTGTACATAATGTTAATAAGTAAATTATAATTTCAAAAATTAATTTCGATATTTTGTAAGAATGTTTCTGAACATTTTCACTAGTGTTTTTTTATGATTCCAAGTGGCAGGTCGACCAAGTCGTGCGTCTGTGTCCATAGCGTGACGGGCGCAATGGCAGTGCCCCTAAGGTCTTTGTGTTTTAAGGCTCTGAGTGGCACTGCAACTGTCGCTTGCCACCAAGCGCATGACTTGACGTGGCGACCGCATTCAACAGCTCTTCTTAGGTCGTTCGTCCATCTTGCCGTAAGACGTCCCACACTACGTTAGCCTTGACGTGGTTGCCACTCTAGAATAAGTCTGCTCCATCGGCCATCCGTCCTCTTGCAGATATGTCTAGCCTACTGCCACCTAAGCTTGCTGATTTAGAGAGCTCCCCACTCTCCTTGGGGAAAGCATTATATTCGAAAAGCCATATAAGCTGTCCCGTTAGGACAAATTAAAGGGAATCACCTCTTCAAGTCTTGGTGCTCTGGGTATTGTCCTTGAAGACAGTCTGGTGCTCATTGTATTCTAGTTTGAGACTAGATCGATACCTCCAACGAAAACTATACCGACTTAAATTTTTGACCTGTTTTGTTTTTATTTTGTTTTTTGATTCATTTTTTTCACAAAATTAGTTTTTTTGCTTTTTTCGAATTTTGTTTTTTGTTTCTTTAATTTTTTCCACAAAATTCGGGGAGCATAATATTAGTATATAAATCGATACCTCCTACGTAATTTGTTATAAATTAAAATACCGTTTTTTTGCTTTTTAACCATTGACCTTCTTTTTAACTTACGTAATAAACTTTTTTCATGTACATTATCGGTTCCATGTTGATACTAAACATAGCACTAGAAGTGATTTCTTTACTTTTAAATGTGCAAAATATAATATACATAAAAAAGGATATATTCAAGTTAAAAAGCAAAAAAATGTAGTTTGACGCACAACAACTTACGCGGGAGGTATCGAAATATGGCTGTTTACAAAAATAAAGATGACCGAAAAATAAAGATGGTGTAGTGTTAATTGGAGGTATCGAGACGTGATTATCTCTCAATTTTCCATGCAAAAACTTGACCTACAAATAGACACGTTTATCATTTCAAGGTTTAAAATAGATATGTGTAATTCCAGCGCCTCCGTGCAGCCGCCAGGCTCAATGCGCGGGGATAAGTGGCACATCCTGCGTGAGGACCCACTATGATGCTACAACAAGATGCCTATGCGGGGACAATCTTCCACCTGTAAACGGGCAATGTGACGGCACGCAGAACAAAAGTAAGTTATAGTAGTAAGGCGAGTCATCAGAGCAGAAGCGGGAAAAACTGTTTTGCTAGCATAATAGTTTTGACCAAATGGTTAAGTATTTACTATTAAAAAACGATCTTACAAAAATAGATAAGATATACGATACACCTATCGAGTACATAACCAGAAATAGAGACGAAATAAGGGCCATCTAGTCCTGGCAACTCATCAGGCGAATGGGCCTTATATCACTTTTAAATATCAACTCTCGTTTGCGCTGAAATCACAAATTAGAAAGCTGAAATAGTGCAGCGCCAACAACTGACCTCCGTATATTAAAAAAATATTCTGTATTTATTGTAATAAAGATAATATCTCTAACAATAGAGGGCTGTTCCATTTGGTGGTGTGGGGAAAAACAGCAAAACATCTAATTACAAAACAAACGTAATCACATTTCATCGGTAATTAAATATTAAATATGTAAGTTTTCAATTTTCATCCAATACAGCTAAGCTCAAGTTAAACTAGACGATTTGAAGTGAAACAATTGACAACACTAGTCAATCGTTTTGGATTCAGGCTGGCTAATCGGAGCGCAGTTGTCACGGCAATGGTTTGGCAGAATAGTTTTCAAACAAATTTAATTTCGTCTCTATTTCTGTTTTTATACTCGATGTCCTAGGTGTATCCTAGGATATTGTCTGAAGGTAATTTGTTACACGATATGATGTACTTTATCATCATATAAAATCCTGAAAAACAGACTAAAATTCAAACTCCAAAACGAATTGCTATAGAATAAAATACCTAACTTCGTACATAATTTTTATATATCGTATCTTATAAAGAGTGATTGTTCAGGAGACGGCAAAACTTTCTATTTGTTTTAAATTTCTTGTCAAGGGTGTTTAATTTGGATGCGTTACTTTAAGAATAGGCAAAAGCCAGTGTGTAAATATGATGGAAATATGATGTGAATTAGAAAGAAAGAAAGAAAGAAAGAAAAACGTTTATTCGCACATTTAAGTCACTTTACATCCCTAAATTATAAACATAACATTAAATTGATAGCTATTTATTAAATAATCTATAAATAAGAATGCAAAGTGACACAAAAGAGGAAAAGGAGACGACTCAGCAAAAAGTCTATCTCTGGCGAGAGAGACGCTGATTTTCAGTCGTTCCTGTTGCATCATCGACTGGATGTTGAGAGAGCGGTACATAATATTATTATGTTGTGTGTATCCTCTGTTGTGGCATATATATTCTTAATTATTTTCAATACGAAAACCTTAAAACCTTAGTATTATATAACAATTAATACTTTAAATCTGTCAATAAGTATTTACTACTAAAGAAACACGGACCTACAACAGCGTAATCATGTAAATAGAAATATACAACTTTAAGCATTATATTGGTATGTTAGTGCACATAAATACTTATAACAAGCTGGCTAGACTAGGAAACTTCCGACATCAAAGCATACGCTGCTTTTCCAATAACATAATTTTCAGTTGTTTTTTGAATGCCGATTTAGAGATTGGTTGTCTAAGTGGAGGAGGCAAATTGTTCCAGCATTTAGATGCCTGATACCGGAAGCTACCCTCAAAAGCTCTTGTCTTGTGGAACGGTGTCACCAACAAAAAACTATCTACCCTGCGTGAATTATAAGCATAAGTAGCCCATTTTAATTTGGCATACAAATATGGTGGACTTTTATACCGGACAATGGATTGCATCAGTGCAGAAAAGTGCAAAGTCCTTCTGGATTCCATGTCCAAGATATTGCGTAGGTTTAGCACAGGTGTTATGTGACTTCTGAATGGTACTTTATAACAAAATCGTATGCAGGCGTTTTGTACACGCTGTACAGTTTTTTTTGAAGTGGAGAGAAGACAGGGACTTAGCCTGCAAAATTTGTATATACAACCCAATCCGCATTGAAGAGCCCAATAACTCTCATTATGAGAGGAGACAACCTTACAATTCAAAGACGGAACACAGTAATGCTCACATTACTGCTTGGCGGCAGAAATCCGTATGTTGGCAGTATTTGTACGGACAAACTCTTTCACAAGGAGATCTACCGTAATTAATACAATGCTTCGATAATAACAGCATGCTAACGAGCTCCAAGTAAGAACGAACGGTCGTTGCGGAAATTGGCAACGTAACCACGTAAATGCACGTCAAACGCAAACAAGATTTATAAGAATTTCTTTAATTTGCATACCATCGTCGTGATGACATCCGCAGCATAGGTCACTGTGATCTAAATCTTCTTCGTAGACGAGATAGTGCCCAATATTGGAACGTGCACGTAAAAGCAAGACTTGCCTGTTAGATCTGACGTACTCTGGACCATAATCAGGGAGTTATTTGTTACCATACCTTACGTCAATTGGCAAATCCGTTCACCACGCGTTCTAGTGTATGCTATGGATACTACAAGAAGTGGCAATAAGGACACGCATTCTCGATTCGACCAGTGCATCCTGCCAGTATTAGGGGTCGAAACCTGGGTGCTAACAAAAGACATAATTCACAAATTACAGGTAGACCAGAAAGACCGCAAAACAAATGCGTGGCTCAGACAGGAAAACAAAGTCGCAAATGTCAGCAAATGCGTAACGGGTCACGTTGCTCGAAAGCATGCTGGTCCTCGAATGGCAACCTTGGGTTGACAAACGCCCCAGAGGAAGACCGTAGATGCGTTGAAAGGATGACATAAAGAAAGTGGCGGGGTTGAATTCGATACAAGTGACACAGAACCGAGAGAAGTGGCAGAAACTGAAGGAGGCTAACACCGATGTGGTTGAGAACGGCTAAAAAGAAGAAGAACAAGAAAGGGAGACTACGGGCTCGCCGGAAAGATCAGGGTACGGCGGGCGTCCGGGCTAAGCCCTCCGCCAGTGATAAGCCTACATGGGCTTCTCTGGTGACCCGGACTTGGGTATGAATTCCCTGGGGTTCTGGTGAGCTACAAAGATGGACATGTTCATCTGCTCCGGTGGTGTGTGGCCGGGGCGTCTGTCTCGTGCGCAACTAGCGGTTAGTCGCAGTCTAGACGAGGGTCTAAAGCGAAAAAACGCGCGGGGCACGTGAGTTGCCCTTGAAGTTGGAAGCTGCGTCTGGACATTGTCGCAGGACACTGCGACCGAAGTCTCCGGTACTAGCCCGGAGAGCTAATAATAAGCTAGACATTCTTCGGTCCCTCCAGCTGCTTAGATTATTGGAAACTGGAGTGTTGCCGTTTTTCGGCGTCAGGATGTGACCATGCCTTACAGCTCCGCCACCAATGAGGAGATTTGATAGTCGGCTTAGAGTCGCCGGCTCTACGGTAGGAACCGTTAGTTGCCACCGTTGAAATTATATTCTGAGATTATATATTCACAACACCCGAATCGTACGTCAAACTGTCGTATTCGAAACGGAACCGAAATGACGTCATCCCGTACGATTACTCCGTACTTCTCGATCGACAAAGGCTACAAACGTTATTTAGATCACAGTTATGAAATAAAAGTCACCGAGTCACCGAACGTCCTATTACAAAGAGCTTTCCATATTACACTCAATATGGAAATCTCTTATTATTTTAAATAAAGTCTGGAATTTTTTTAAATTTATTAATTTATTTTAATGCGAGACTAATGCATTCCTATATTTTAGGCATTTAAAGTCTTAAGATGAGTATTAAGTATTTCCATTTTTCTTATAACCTATCTCACCAGCTAACTCCGAAAACGCTGTTGGATAACGATATCGTATCCGAATGCGAATCGAACGTTAACTCAAATGTTCTGAATAACACGGTAAGGCCCTTCGATTCGAGAACGATATCCAATGGAACGATTCGCTTAAAATATCGAAGAGTTCTGAATCGGGCACCAGAGACAAAGGAATTTCTAACAAGACAAGGAGGTGGCAATAATTCGAGCCAAAATCCCCAAAATCGTTAAGAGGGCATAAGAACGATTGAAACAGTCGAAAGTTTACTTACATAATCTATACATATAATGTATGTAATGTGCCACGACCTCGTTACTCCACAAAGTCTGCGGATATTGTGGAGTATATACGGGTGAAAGCCAATGCCACCCTGAGGGTCGAGCGGTGGAATGTGAATTTTAAATCATGTGAGAGTTCCTACTCAATATCTGACCTTCATGAAGTGAAGTGACCTTCGGCCAACACTCTTCAGTTTTGACCGAAAGGTGCCGACGTTTCCGAGGCCGGTTACCTATGTTGCGTTAGATGTCGCCGTCCATACGTGTAAATAAATGAATAGTGTTTTATTTTATTGTTATTATATATGTTAATCAATAAGGGATGTATTTATGGGTCAATGTATCCTGAGTATAAATAAATTTAGAAGAATAGTACAATTTGGTGAATTTAAAAGAAAGCCCAATTGCAGTTGATTAAAGTTAAAAAAACCTAAAATTTAATAATCTCAGTACAGTGTACTAAAAACACCGACCTCAAAAGTCATTCATCCCCTAGTTTGACACCCTTAGAGGTGGAATAATTTCTTCAAATTGAATTGGGACCACTATTGCGGTACCCCCTTTCCAACAAAAAAAAAAGAATCATTAAAATCGGTTCACAAGTAATCTTTGAGAAATTGAGAACCTCCTCCATTTTTTGAAGTCAATTAAAAAGGGAGTGTCCCAAGCCCATTATGATAATCCATGTCGTGTCCTTCTTCATAGAAAGCAATCGTACTGCCTACTGAAATCACAACTAACATTATTCGTAACATTCTTTCCAGGTAAAGGTTTCAGTAAAGTCATTAGCATTCCATTACCCGTGCAATAAAAACGTGTAAACAATGAATTGTGCAAATGCAAATTCCGCATTTGTGCACTTCACGGAAAAACGCGAAGAGTTAAAAGGAGCAAGCTTGCGTTTCCGTGTTAAGCTATGTGTGTTATGTTGGCTGACCCTGTCGAGTATAAAACCAGAAATGTCATTTAATTTGTTTGAAAACTATACTGCTAAATCATTACGGTGACAACTGC